AAATTATATGTCAAAAGGTTTTAGCTTGATTTTGCATACATCAATAGCAGCGGCGGACCCTAAAATTTCCTTATGGGGAGGGGGGAGGGAGGGGTGGGAGCGGACAGGGAGGATAGGGAGAAAGGGGGAACAACAATTCTTTCCGAATGATGCGTGGAGTCAATTCCGAAAAATTTTTTGAAATGGTTTTCTAAACCTTTCGCGGCCCAGACCACGAAATTCTAGAAAAAAGTTGCGCGGTAGCAGCTAGGTCTCTGGAAAAGTTTTTCCACGAGGTTAACACTTCTATAAAATTTGAATATTATTTTGATTACTACAAATATGAACAAGATTGCACATTTTTATTGCCATTTAAGCGGCTCAAAAAATTGGGACCCATTCTCGAGGGGAGGGAGGGGAGACTTCCCTGTCTGCCACTGATCAGCAGAGTAGCGTATTGGGGAAGGAAAATGGGTAAAATTCTCAACGTAATAGATTCCCTGAAATCTTGGATCAACTTAGACATGTTTGGAAGGTGGCCGCCGCTATGGATTTCAATTCTTTGAGCTGAGAATCCCTCATATAGCAACTTGTTTCTTTCTGTCCTCTAAAATTTTGGTTTCCTACTTAAAAGATGGTTATTTATCAATAATAAAGAAGTCGGAAAAGTGAAGCCGCAATCCAGAATCCTTGCATCCAACAATTAATTTTCCGCGGCTTCAGAGAGAAAAAAGTCGGAAATTTTTTCACAATGTGTCAATGCAACGCCTGCTTTACCTGGCGATCGTTCTCACTCTCGACTAGCGTCTTGGCCATAACTCATCGACTGTAACTAAACCAGTTTGTGTTTATCTATCATTGCGACCAAATTGTCAACACAATCGGTTGTAATCAATAGCGCGTACATTGATCATCTCGCTGCTAGACAGTCCAAGCATCCAGTTTCTTCTGTTCTTCTTTCAACGAAATGTACATGCTGAGACACATTGCAAAGTTTGGGGCTTTGTGACGAAAATAGAGGAAAAGTGCAGGATTTTTTGGGAGTTCTCGGGAAAACATCATCTTTTAGCTTGTTGGACCCAATCAAAATCACTGGGAGACCTGTCTTAGAAAATTAGCCAGAACTTTGGAAATCTGTTATATTTGGATGTAAAGGATTGTAAACGAAAATTCAAAAATTATTAATAGAAATTGAGCATCATAATTTATCTTTCCTCTTTACTATAACAGATAAACTTTCACTTGACAGCTACACATAGGTCGTTACTCTGTGCAGGATGTTCAAGGATGTTCGTAATAATGAGGCAGTATTTGTAATAATACTGAAATTTTGGGTTTCAAATAATCGAGCCATTTCCAGGGCGATTTTGAGTGTCGGGCCGAGGGGGGGGGGATGAATCGCAAGTTTTTGAAAATTACTCACATGTGTTAAAAAGATATGTAAGTGACTTGTCTGTACTTGTAATTGACTTAAAATTTTTGAACTTTTTAAAAAATAAGTCCTGTAAAATTTTTTTTGAGGCACGGCTGCCACGCCCATCTTTTCTAGATTTTAGAGATAAGAGGCTGGCAAGAATTTTGAGAAGCATCCCAAAATTTTTTTTTGTGCGCTAACGCACTTTGATTTGAAACTTTTTTGGCGTAACCCCCCTTCCCCCCGGCCCATATCCTGGGACCGCCATTGCCTTTTTGTGATTACAGACTTCGAA